TCTCTCTCTCTCTCTCTCTCTCTCTCTCTCTCTCTCTCTCTCTCTCTCTCTCTCGGGGAGCTGTGCGGCAGCAGCTCCCACGCAGCTCCCCGCGCCGCGCAGCTTTCCCCGGCGCACACACACACACACACACACACTCACTCACTCACTCACTCACTCACTCACAATCAATCAATCAATCAATCAATCAATCAATCAATCAATCAAACCTTTTTTCAAGTTTTTTCAACTTTTTTCAACTTTTTTGTTTATTTATTTTCAAATTTTGCATCTTTATTTTTCTAAAACACCTCATACCCCTGCAAAAAACAGAAATTCGTTTCTAAAAAATACAGGTGAATTCAGGGACCATATATCTGATGATAAAAAATTACAAAAAAAAAATCCAGCTTTTCTTTATATATATATTTTTTAATTTTCTTTAAATCGAATTTAGTTTTTGATTTTTTAAAAATCCTAAACAAAGTCGGATGCAAGGAAGATGAGCATTAGCGAACTCCAGCAATCAAACAGCATCATACATATGTGTCCAGATAGTCTTGACCTCGAACCAACAGCAGTCATGCATCACGAGATTCACCAAATCAGAACACACCTAGTTCGTAATTGACAATGCTGAAATAGTCTCTCATCATCATCAACAAAGAACAAGAGTTGATATCCTATTGGCGCTCGGCGCCCAGACTACTTGTGGCAGATCCTATCTAGCCTAATACTACAATGCCGATGTTGACAACAACAGCTCCCTGAAGTACGAGCATACAGCGGACAATGCCGCACGCTTCCAGCACCAGGTATGTCTCTCGTAACACTCACAACCTCGATCCACACCGCACAGATGCCACTTGCACCCAAGGACCACCCTGCGTCACATCCAGCCTACAGCGGAGCAGCTCGGCTATGGCTGCCCGCTACCTTCCTGCTCGCCCGTGAGAGCGTGAGTGCCAGCCAGCCAGCAATGAGTGCAGCAGCGCTTGCGCAGCATGCAGCCAGCACCCGAATGCCGAATGAGGAGGCAGGCCCTTCCCTATATCGAAGTGGCCTGCCTGCGTCCAGTCCAGGAAGCTTCCGGTAGGCACAGACCCAGTCACGAAGAGAGCAGGCCTTGGGCCTGAAGTGGTTGCATGCGCCCAACTGCTCCGGCCTGTGTTTGGCCCGGTACCCGTATCCAGCCTAGGGCCTGCTTCTCATTCATTTACACAGGCGGCCCAGGGCCTGGATTCATTCAACCAACTGGCGCAACGCAACTGTCTGAATTTCCCCGATGGGGGGTACCCTGAAGAATGAGGCCCGAAGGGCCTGTCGTGCCTGCCTTCACTTAGGGCGGCCGACCTTGTTGCAGATAGGGCCCCGTAGGGGCTAAGCAGGCGGAGCCTCGCATTCCCTCCTCCATATCTTCGTTAGTCCTCTGCGGAGATCAATCTGCAGCCATCTGGCGCTTTCCTTTCAGTACATCCTTCTCATAGCGGGCAACGATTTGAGGAGCGGTGTGCATCAGTTCCTCCCGAGTAAACCAGCGGTCCTCCTTCGGATCTCTATGATGTATGAAGTGGACTCAGAACTGCAGCTTTGGCTTTGGAGGACGTCCCCTTCCTAGAGGCTTCTGAACAGGCATCTCCCTGTGGTCAACGATATCATCGATGTCGACTTCTCCGWCCATGRTTGGGGGCAGCATGGATCGACGAGGGGGAAACTGATCAGTTTCCTTGGATGCAGCGAGCTTAGAGGCGTGAAAGACTGGGTAAGTTCTGAGATGACCAGGGATACGGATGACATATGATGGACCATCAGGATCTGTCCCTACTACGTCTAAAACTTCCCAAGGTCCAAAGTACTGAGGCATGAGTTTGCGGGATATCCCGAACTCCTGTCCCAGTGCTGAAGATTTGACCCAGACTCTGTCCCCAACCTGAAATGTAGAAGGGCGGCGGTGTTTATTCTCAGATTCTATCATTGCTGCCTGTGCCTTCTGTATGTGCTCTACAGCCTCCTGCATCTTCTGTTCATAACGATACGCGAACTCCAAAGTGCCCGGCGTAACAGTTGGCTGGTTATCAGGAAGTAGGAAGTCTAAAGCCAGTCTAGGCCTAAAGGTTATATGTAGACTGTTAGGACTTGCACCGGTAGCGCTGTGTACAGCGTTATTGTACAGACTGGCGACAAGAGCAAGCTTCTCGTCCCAGTCCACCTGGTTGGGCTTAATGTAATGCCTCAACAGGTGTTGGACAACGCGGTTCATCTGTTCAGCCTGGCCGTTTGCTTCTGGATGGTTTCCAGAAGTCATCTGCAGTTGAGTTCCTTGTTCAGCTGCAGCGGCCTTCCATAATTCACTTGTAAATCTGACATCCCTGTCACTTACAATAGACTTAGGCAATCCAAAATCCCTCACCAGTTCTCCTTGAACAGCCTGATTACATACTCGGTCTCGGTCTTCGCTGTTTCCGGCATGGCTATTAACCTAGCATACTTGCTAAACCTATCCACGATGACGAAGATCT